TCCATATATTCACAAATGTTTCTGATTTCACTCCGAACTCGTGTAGACTTTGATGCGATCATATCTTTCTCTATTTTGTGCCGTTGAAAGCGTTTAATATCTCGATGGAAAGATCTTATCAAGTTCTAAAACTTGTCTTCAGGCGCTGGTTTCAAAATACCAAGGGATGATTGCCTAATTACTAAAATACACTGTATTTACGCTAAACGTGCTCTATTTTCGCTGAAAACGCTAAATCATAGAGATAAGACTAAGTATTTGTGACACTCATATCTTGCTGTGTGTTTATCCGTTTGGAGCGTATTATATCTCGTTGGAAAGATAGATCGGAGATCTAAAGCTATTGTTCCAACTTCATTTACAATGCATTAATTAAGAGTTACAGATTAACCATATATTCCCAAATGTTTCTGATTTCACTCCGAACTCGTGTAGAATGTGATGCGATCATATCATGCTCCATTTTGTGCCATTGAAAGCGTTTAATATCTCTTTGGAAAGATCTTACCGAGTTCTGAAACTTGTCTTCAGGCTCTGGTTTCAGAATATCAAGGGATGATTGCCTTATTACTAAAATACTCTGTATTTAGGTTAAAAGTGCTCTATTTTCGCTGAAAACGCTAAATCATAGAGATAAGGCTAAGTATTTGTGACACTCATATCTTGCTGTGTGTTTATCCGTTTGGAGCGTATTATATCTCGTTGGAAAGATAGATCGGAGCTCTAAAGCTGATGTTCCAACTTCATTTACAATGCATTAATTAAAAGTTACAGATTAACCATATATTCACAAATGTTTCTGATTTCACTCCGAACTCGTGTAGAATTTGAGGCAATCACATCTTGCTCTATTTTGTGCCGTTGAAAGAGATTAACATCTCGTTGGAAGGATCTTACCGAGTTCTAAAACTTGTCTTCAGGCGCTGGTTTCAAACTATCAGGGGATGATTGCCAAATTACTAATATCACTGTATTTAAGCTAAAAGTCCTCTATTTTCGCTGAAAACGCTAAATCATAGAGATAAGGCTAAGTATTTGTGACACTCATATCTTGCTGTGTGTTTATCTGTTTGGAGCGTATTATATCTCGTTGGAAAGATAGATCGGAGCTCTAAGGATGTTTTTACTTGGACCGTAATTTGTTGGTCTGACCTGGTCTGGTTTGTTTTGGTGTGGTTTGTTTTGGTCTAGTCTGGTCTGGTCTGGTCTGAAATTTTGTTTTTTATATTTTTTGCGTAAATATTTTATTTTTATATATATATTATAATCCATAACTAATTATATTTTATTCATTTATAATTAAAAATAATAATATTCCTTCCAGCATGCTAAAATTTTGTCTATTCGTTATAAAATAAATAATACTAATAATAATAATAATAATAATAATAATAATAATAATTAGGGGCGTGCACTATCTGGTTTAAACTGGAAAACCGGACCGAGCCAGACCAGAAAAACCGGAACCGGATTAAATCGGAACGATATCCGGTCCAGTTTTTGGTTTTGAACCGGATGAATCGGATGAACCGGTTATGTTCCGGGTAAAAACCGGAATACATCTGGTCCGGTTTTCGGTTTGCATATCATGGAAAATCCGTTTACGGTTTCGGTCCGGTTCGGTACAGTCCGGTCCGGTTTAGAACTGGTGCACACCCCTAATAATAGTAATAATAATAATAATAATAATAATAATAATAATATTAATAATAATAATAATACTAATACTAATAGTAATAGTAATAGTAATAATAATAATAATAATAATAATAATAATAGTAATACTAATAGTAATAATAATAATAATAATAATAATAATAATAATAATATTAATAATAATAATAATAATAATAATGATGATGATGATGATAATAATAATGATGATGATGATGATGATGATGATGATAATAATGATAATAATAATAAGTATAATAATGATAATGATTATAATGATAATGATAATAATAATAATGATTGTAATAATAATGATAATAATAATAATAATAATGATAATAATAATAATGATAATAATAATAATGATAAAAATAATGATAATGATAATAATAATAATTTTAATAATAACAATGATAATAATAACAATGATAATAATAACAATGAAAATAATAACAATGATAATAATAATAATAATAATAATAATAATAATAATAATAAAAATAATAATAATAATAAAAAGAATAATAATACCCCTAATAATAATAATAATAATAATAATACCAATAATAATAATACCAATAATAATAATAATAATAATAATAATAATAATAATAATAATAAAAATAATCTTACCGAGTTCTAAAACTTGTCTTCAGGCGCTGGTTTCAAAATATTAAGGGATGATTGCCTAATTACTAAAATACACTGTATTTACGCTAAGGTTTCCTATAAAACTTAAGTTGGATCTAGTTTTAGTTTTTTATGTTCTCTTTTACTCTCTGTATCTTTCATTTGATTTCTCTTCCTACACTGCACCTTTTATTTTTATGAATAAAATCGTTCTTTAAAAAAAATTCCAAAAAAAAACACTGTATTTACGCTAAAAGTGCAGTGTATTTACGCACTTTGATGCGATCATATTTCACTCTGAACTCGTGTAGAATTTGATGCGGTCATATCTTGCTCTATTTTGTGCCGTTGAAAACGTTTAATATCTCGTTGGAAAGATCTTACCGAGTTCTAAAACTTGTATGCAAGCGCGCGTTTCAAAGTATCAAGGGATGATTGCCTAAGTACTAAAATACACTGTATTTACGCTAAAAGTGCTCTATTTTCGCTGAAAACGCTAAATCATAGAGATAAGGCTAAGTATTTGTGACACTCATATCTTGCTGTGTGTTTATCCGTTTGGAGCGTATTATATCTCGTTGGAAAGATAGATCAGAGCTCTAAAGCTATTGTTCCATCTTCATTTACAATGCATTAATTAAAAGTTACAGATTAACCATATATTCACAAATGTTTCTGATTTCACTCCGAACTCGTGTAGAATTTGATGCGATCATATCTTGCTCTATTTTGTGCCGTTGAAAGCGTTTAATATCTCGTTGGAAAGATATTACCGAGTTCTAAAACTTGTCTTCAGGCGCTGGTTTCAAAACATCAAGGGATGATTACCTAATTAATAAAACACACTCTATTTACGCTAAAAGTGCTCTATTTTCGCTGAAAACGCTAAATCATAGAGATAAGGCTAAGTATTTGTGACACTCATATCTTGCTGTGTGTTTATCCGTTTGGAGCGTATTATATCTCGTTGAAAAGATAGATCGGAGCTCTAAAGCTATTGTTTCAACTTCATTTACAATGCATTATTTAAAAGTTACAGATTAACCTTAAATTAACAAATGTTTCTGATTTCACTCCGAACTCGTGTAGAATTTGATGCGATCATATCTTGCTCTATTTAGTGGCGTTGAAAGCGTTTAATATCTCGTTGGAAAGATCTTACCGAGTTCTACAACTTGTCTTCAGGCGCTGGTTTCAAAATATCAAGGGATGATTGCCTAATTACTAAAATACACTGTATTTACGCTAAAAGTGCTCTATTGTCGCTGAAAACGCTAAATCATAGAGATAAGGCTAAGTATTTTTGAAACTCATATCTTGCCGAGTGTTTATCCGTTTAGAGCGTATTATATCTCGTTGGAATTAGAAACATTTGTTTATATATGGTTAATTTGTAAATTTTAATTAATGCATTGTAAATGAAGTTGGAACAATAGCTTTAGAGCTCCGATCTATCTTTTCAACGAGATATAATACGCCCCAAACGGATAAACACACAGCAGGATATGAGTGTCACAAATACTTAGCCTTATCTCTATGATTTAGCGTTTTCAGCTAAAATAGAGCACTTTTAGCGTAAATACAGTGTATTTTAGTAATTAGGCAATAATCCCTTGATTTTTTGAAACCAGCGCCTGAAGACAAGTTTTAGAACTCGGTATGATCTTTCAAAAGAGATATTAAACGCTTTCAATGGCACAACAAAGAGCAAGATGTGATAGCATCAAATTCTACACGAGTTCGGAGTGAAATCAGAAACATTTGTGAATATATGGTTAATCTGTAACTTTTAATTAATGCATTGTAAATGAAGTTGGAACAATAGCTTTAGAGATCCGATCTATCTTTCCAACGAGATATAATACGCCCCAAACGGATAAACCCACAACAAGATATGAGTTTTACGAATACTTAGTCTTATCTCTATGATTTAGCGTTTTCAGCGAAAATAGAGCACTTTTAGCGTAAATACAGTGTATTACTATTTTTATTACTATTATTATTACTATTATTATTACTATTATTACTATTATTACTATTATTAATATTATTATTATTATTATTATTATTATTATTATTATTATTATTATTATTATTATTATTATTATTATTATTATTATTATTATTATTATTATTATTAGTATTATTATTATTCTTATTATTATTATTATTACTATTATTATTATTACTATTATTATTATTATTATTATTATTATTATTATGATTATTATTATTATTATTATTATTATGATTATTATTATTATTATTATAATTATAATTATAATCATAATAATAATAATAATAATAATAATAATTATTATTATTATTATTATTATTATAATTATTATTATTATTATTATTATTATTATTATTATTATTATTATTATTATTATTATTATTATTATTATTATTATTATTATTATTATTATTATTATTATTATTATTATTAGCTCCGATCTATCTTTCCAACGAGATATAATACGCTCCAAACGGTTAAACACACAGCAAGATATGAGTGTTACAAATACTTAGCCTTATCTCTATGATTTAGCGTTTTCAGCGAAAATAGAGCACTGTTAGCGTAAATAAAGTTTATTTTAGTAATTAGGCAATCATCCCTTGATATTTTGAAACCAGCGCCCAAAGCGCCAAAAGAAACCAGCGCCTGAAGTTGAGAGCTTTCTCTCCCTAGGAAAAAATGCGATTCACTCGACCTAGGCTCTTTGGCGTATGCAAATCGCTGGTATCATTGGTTTTACTTCGTGAATGCTATGTTCTTAGTCAATTTCTAATTCTAATCTCAATTTCGACCTTGATTTTGAGCTTGGAATGACGTTTTGGGACCAAAACCGCAAAATTCGAAGGTTTTTGTACTGTTCCTGTAGTCTGCAATTCAGTTCGTTTCTTTGAATTTTTGGGATTTGTTTGGGGTCTGTGACTTGTATGGGACTCGTATAGCAAGGAAGAAGCTCGGTTTACTACAGCAACAGAGCTTAGGTCGGTTTTTCTGAGTGTTTTTGAATTACCAAGTTGTGTTTCCCCTGTTTCTTTGACCTCGGTTTGCAGTACTGTAAACCTGCTATGAATAAAAAAAAGGCTGGGAAGGGGGAAGCAATGCCCAGAGTTACTAGGTCTAAGGCAGCAGGTTTTGAGGTACTCAACCATCTTGAGGAGGAATTCCCTGAGCTCGCAGAATCAGTGAAGGGACCTGCGGTTATTGCTGAAAAAATTGCAGGTCCTGCTGCAAAATGTGGTTCTGCCACTTGGCCTGCAGGTACTGAACATGCTAAATGTGTTTCTGCCACTAGGCAGACTGTTTCAGGCCACAATTCTGGGAAGAATTTCACAACCACTGGTGGCCAGAAGGCTGGAGAACATGCTGCTAATACTGCAGACATGGATGATACTCATGGAAATGAAAAAACACCTACTACTTCTAAGGCTTTAGTTCCTGTGACTAAAGCACCTACTGCAATCAACTCACCTGCTGCTGGGAAAGGTGAAGCTGCTAAACAGACACCTGCTGTAGAAAATTTGACAAAGGATGATAGTGTCAAAACTGTGGCAGTAACCATAGATAACGAGCAGGCAGCCCAGGCCAAACCTTGGAATGCCCTTTTTAAGGATAACCGTGACCCAAAGCATGGTATCAAACTGAAATATGTCCCTCCTAAAGGGGAAACCTTGGACTTTGGTGATCGTGTTTTACCCTCCATGGTCGAAATGTGGGGCTTTTGCCTAGTTGGACACTTTACCGGAAATTTTCCCGGACTTAAAGCGGTTCATGATCTCAAAGCTACATGGGGTGTGAGATTTTTTGTGAGGTCCCATAACAAGGGATGGGTAATCTTTAAATTCACTAATGAGGAGGATAGATTGAAAGTACTACATGACGGTCCTTACAATGTGTTTGGGAAACTCCTTATGCTAAAAGAACTTTTGGATGACTTCTCGTTTGAGGATGAGGAGTTTCTTAAAGTACCAATTTGGGTCAGGTTCCCTAAATTACCAATGAAGCTATGGAATGATGAAGCTATGAGTGAGGTAGCATCTATGATTGGGGTCCCAATAACCACAGACAAAATTACTCAAGAGAGGGCAAACAATGAATATGCTAGAGTGCTTATTGAAGTGGATGTTTCAAAGCCACCACCACTTTCGTTTCCGATACGACTACCTTCCAAAAAGGTAATCAAACAAAGTGTGCTTTATGAAACTTTTCCTAATTATTGCTTTCATTGCAAAGAATTTGGGCACCACCCTTTTATTTGTAAAAAGCTAGTCAAAAGGGTTGATGGAGCAAGTGAAAAAGAACCGAGAGTTGAAACAAATAAAGATATTGAGAGTGTGGCCACTCAGACAGATGTTGCTGCCCAAGGAAACCAGACCGGGCATACCTCTAGCCCGACCGGGCCTCTTGTAAAAACTGCACCAGCTGTGGAACGTGCTGCCTACACGCCTGAGCATACCAAACTGACCGGGTCTGTCGGGCAACGTGCAAAGGAGACATATGCTAATGTTGAAAAAGATGCTGCCAAGGTTAAAACTGCTGCCAAGAAGGTTGAAAACACACCTGCAAATGTTGAAACAGCTGCTGCCAAAGGTAAAAATGCTGAAAACACACCTGCTAATGTTGAAACAGCTGCTGCCAAGAGTCAACCTGCTGCCCATGAGATTAAGACTGTTTCCACAGGGCAGATTGATGCCCAGCAGCCTGCTAAACTTTCTGCCATGGTAGTGAACAAAGATGTAACGACACCAGCTACCAAGGGAGCTAATCCAACTGCCCAGGGACCTTCACAATCTGCCCAAGGACACCCGAACAGGTTACAAGGGCAGACTGCCCAGGGGATTGAAGTGGCTGCTGCGCAAGGAAGAATCACAATTGGGCAACTTATGGGTGTGCAAACTAACCATGAGTCTTCCGAGGATGAAGACGACGAGGTCTTTTTGGAAGAAAATGAAAGACTAGTAACGAGTGAGACCGACATGCACCTAAACGATGTTGTAATCAAATGTGAGGTGGTGAATGGGAAGAGGTTTAGGCTTTTTGTTAAACCGTTTAAATTTGTGCATGCTAATGTGATTAGAGTGGATACCTTTCTTCGACTTACGGATGATTTGGACACAAAAGGCCTAACTTTCACCGCCAAATGTCTTGAGAGATTACCGGGGGTTACTAAGAAGAAAGGGGAGATTTGCTTTAACTCAAAGTTTACTACTCCTTTCCGACTTTTCTTTGGAGGTTAATATTTGGATATCTATTATTTTTTCTGAGCTGGTTTTTGTAGGTTTATTTCGTTCAGTTTGGATTCAAGATGTTTGATTTGAGAGAATGTGGGCCTTGATTTTGTGGTATCCCGTGATCAGGGATATGCACCTTGCTTGTAATCGTGATGCATTGTACTATGCTATTTTTTCTGGATATATATACTTACATTTTATCCAAAAAATAAAAATTGAAACCAGCGCCCAAAGACATGTTTTAAAACTCGGTAAGATACCCGCACGGGTAGCTCAGTTGGTCGAGTGGTGGGAAAAATTGGACGTAGACCAAGGTTCGAATCACGCAGCGGCCAAAAGGGGGTTTTCAGAACCTGAAATAAGGCTGGCCCTCTTGTGCGCACGGGTAAAGGCCTACTGCCGCTTTGCCGACTGAGTCACCGTGATTTACTCCCCCACCATCCTGTCGGGTCGGGGTGGGGAAGCCCTTGGGGTTGGGGATTCAACCTTTTTGGACGTAGAACTCGGTAAGATCTTTCCAACGAGATATTAAATGCTTTCAATGGCACAAAATAGAGCAAGATATGATCGCATCAAATTCTACACGAGTTCGGAGTGAAATCAGAAACATTTGTGAATATCTGGTTAATCTGTAACTTTTAATTAATGCATTGTAAATGAAGTTAGAACAATAGCTTTAGAAATCCGATCTATCTTTCCAACGAGATATAATACGCTCCAAATGGATAAACACACAGCAAGATATGAGTGTCACAAATACATAGCCTTATCTCTATGATTTAGCGTTTTCAGCGAAGAGCACTTTTAGCGTAAATACAGTGTATTTTAGTAATTAGGAAATCATCCCTTGATATTCTGAAACCAGCGCCTGAAGACAAGTTTTAGAACTCGGTATGATCTTTCAAACGAGATATAAAACGCTTTCAATGGCACAACAAAGAGCAAGATGTGATCACATCAAATTCTACACGAGTTCGGAGTGAAATCAGAAACATTTGTAAATATATGGTTAATCTGTAACTTTTAATTAATGCATTGTAAATGAAGTTGGAACAATAGCTTTAGAGCTCCGATCTATCTTTCCAACGAGATACAATACGCCCCAAACGGATAAACCCACAACAAGATATGAGTGTTACGAATACTTAGTCTTATCTCTATGATTTAGCGTTTTCAGCGAAAATAGAGCACTTTTAGCGTAAATACAGTGTATTACTATTTTTATTACTATTATTATTACTATTATTATTACTATTATTACTATTATTAATATTATTATTATTATTATTATTATTACTATTCTTATTATTATTATTCTTATTATTATTATTATTATTATTATTATTATTTTGATTATTATTATTATTATTATTATTATTATTATTATTATGTTGATGATGATGATTATTATTATTATTATTATTATTATTATTATTATTATTATTATTATTATTATTATTATTATTATTATTATGTTGATGATGATGATTATTATTATTATTATTATTCTTATTATTATTAAGATTATTATTATTATTATTATTATTATTATTATTATTATTATTATTATTTTTATTATTATTATTCTTCTTCTTCTTCTTATTATTATTATTATTATTATTATTATTATTATTATTATTATTATTATTATTATTATTATTATTATTATTATTATTATTATTATTATTATTATTATTATTATTATTATTATTATTATTATTATTATTATTATTATTATTATTATTATTATTGTTGTTGTTGTTGTTGATGTTGTTGTTGTTGTTATTATTATTATTATTATTATTATTATTATTATTATTATTATTATTATTATTAGCTCCGATCTATCTTTCCAACGAGATATAATACGCTCCAAACGGTTAAACACACAGCAAGATATGAGTGTCACAAATACTTAGCCTTATTATCTCTATGATTTAGCGTTTTCAGCGAAAATAGAGCACTGTTAGCGTAAATAAATTTTATTTTAGTAATTAGGCAATCATCCCTTAATATTTTGAAACCAGCGCCCAAAGACATGTTTTAGAACTCGGTAAGAACTTTCCAACGAGATATTAAATGCTTTCAATGGCAAAAAATAGAGCAAGATATGATCGAATCAAATTCTACACGAGTTCGGAGTGAAATCAGAAACATTTGTGAATATCTGGTTAATCTGTAACTTTTAATTAATGCATTGTAAATGAAGTTAGAACAATAGCTTTAGAACTCCGATCTATCTTTCCAACGAGATATAATACGCTCCAAACGGATAAACACACAGCAAGATATGAGTGTCACAAATACATAGCCTCATCTCTATGATTTAGCGTTTTCAGCGAAAATAGAGCACTTTTAACGTAAATACAGTGTATTTTAGTAATTAGGCAATCATCCCTTGATATTCTGAAACCAGAGCCTGAAGACAAGTTTTAGAACTCGGTAAGATCTTTCGAACGAGATATTAAACGCTTTCAACGGTAAAAAATAGAGCATGATATGATCGCATCACATTCGACACGAGTTCGGAGTGAAATCAGAAACATTTGTGAATATATGGTTAATCTTTAACTTTTAAATAATGCATTGTAAATGAAGTTGGAACAATATCTTTAGATCTCCGATCTATCTTTCCATCGAGATATAATACGCTCCAAACGGATAAACACACAGGAAGATATGAGTGTCACAAATACTTAGCCTTATCTCTATGATTTAGCGTTTTCAGAGAAAATAGAGCACTTTTAGCGAAAATACAGTGTACTTTAGTAATTAGGCAATCATCCCTTGATATTTTGAAACCAGCGCCTGAAGACAAGTTTTAGAACTCGGTAAGATCTTTCCAACGAGATATTAAATGCTTTCAACGACACAAAATAGAGCAAGATATGATCGCATCAAATTCTACACGAGTTCGGAGTGAAATCAGAAACATTTGTGAATATATGGTTAATCTATAACTTTTAATTAATGCATTGTAAATGAAGGTTGAACAATAGCTTTAGAGTTCCGATATATCTTTCCAATAAGATATAATACGCTCCAAACGGATAAACACACAGCAAGATATGAGTGTCACAAATACTTAGCCTTATCTCTACGATTAGGCGTTTTCAGCGAAAATAGAGCACTTATAGCGTAAATACAGTGTATTTTAGTAATTAGGCAATTAATCCTTGATATTTTGAAACCAGCGCCTGAAGAGAAGTTTTAGAACTCTGTAAGATCTTTCCAACGAGATATTAAACGCTTTCAACGGCACAAAATAGAGCAAGATATGATCCCATCAAATTCTACACGAGTTCGGAGTGAAATCAGAAACATTTGAGAATATATGGTTAATCTTTAACTTTTAATTAATGCATTGTAAATGAAGTTGGAACAATAGCTTTAGATCTCCGATATATCTTTCCAACGAGATATAAAACGCTCCAAACGGATAAACACACAGCAAGATAGGAGTGTCACAAATACTTAGCCTTATCTCTATGATTTAGCGTTTTCAGCGAAAATAGAGCACTTTTAGCGTAAATACAGTGCATTTTAGTAATTAGGAAATCATCCCTTGCTATTTTGAAACCAGCGCCTGAAGACAAGTTTTAGAACTTGGTAAGATCTTTCCAACGAGATATTAAACGCTTTCAATGGCACAGAATAGAGCAATATATGATCACATCAAATTCTACACGAGTTCAAAGTGAAATCAGAAACATTTGTTTATATATGGTTAATCTGTAACTTTTAATTAATGCATTGTCAATGAAGTTGGAACAATAGCTTTAGAGCTCAGATCTATCTTTCCAACGAGATATAATACGCCCCAAACGGATAAACACACAGCAGGATATGAGTGTCACAAATACTTAGCCCTATCTCTTTGATTTAGCGTTTTCAGCTAAAATAGAGCACTTTTAGCGTAAATACAGTGTATTTCAGTAATTAGGCAATAATCACTTGATTTTTTGAAACCAGCGCCTGAAGACAAGTTTTAGAACTAGGTAAGATCTTTCAAACGAGATATTAAACGCTTTCAACGGCACAATAAAGAGCAAGATATGATCGCATCAAATTTTACACGAGTTCGGAGTGAAATCAGAAACATTTGTGAATATATGGTTAATATGTAACTTTTAACTAATGCATTGTAAATGAAGTTGGAACAATAGGTTTAGAGCTCCGATCTATCTTTCCAACGAGATATAATATGCTCCAACGTATAAACACACAACAAGATATGAGTGTCACAAATACTTAGCCTTATCTCTATGATTTAGCGTTTTCAGCGAAAATAGAGCACTTTTAGCGTAAATACAGTGTATTTTAGTAATTATGCAATCATCCCTTGATATTTTGAAACCAGCGCCTGAGGCGGTACACTCTTTTTGGCGTTATTAATGCTTGGAACACTAAGACCCTCTCTTATGCTGGGAGAGTTGAACTTATTAAGTCTGTTATCCAAGGGGTACACTCTTTTTGGCTACAAGCACTCCCTATTCCTAAGGCGGTACTTGATAGAATTACTTCTATCTGTCGTATCTTCATTTGGGGGTGTAAGTATGCTAGAGTTGCTTGGACGGATGTGTGCCTCCCTAAAGAGGAGGGTGGTCTTGGTATCCATGATACTCATACTTGGAACTCTGCTTTACTGGCCAAAACCCTTTGGGATATCCACACCAAAAAGAATAATCTTTGGGTGAGGTGGATACATGGCATCTATCTTAATAATAGGGGTGTTTGGGAGTTCACACCCCATAATAGGGACTCCCAACTTATCAAGAAGATTGCCTTGATTAGGAATCAGATTCTTTCACATTTTGGCAATATTGATGATGCCATTACTTTCCTAAATGGCTGCCAAACTAATGGGAAATTGTCCTCGGCCAAGATCTATAATCTCCTTAGAGTTAAAGGGGGAACTCATATGTGGATGTCTTTCATTTGGAAGAACTACATCCCCCCTAAATTCTCCTTCACGGTTTGGTTGGCCTTTAGGGACCGGCTTGCTACTTTTGACAATTTGCATAGATTGGATGTTGTGAATATTTGTCCTTTTTGCAAGGGTGGTCCGGAAACGGTACCACACCTATTTTTTGCTTGTGTTTTTTCAGGAAAGGTGTGGCATATGGCAAAGAGCTGGCTAGATATCCCTAGGCAGATGGGGACTTTGCATAGCTCGCTGAAGTGGATAAAGAGGAAGAGACAAGGATCCGGCATCAAATCAAAGGCGGCT